CGAGCCAAAGCGGGAGTGAAGCCACCAAAGAATCTCCTGTCACTGATGATGAGAAAGAAGATAAAGCTGACAGAAATGCTAAAAGAGAATCCGAGCGGGGCACTGGGACTCTGAGCAAAGAGCCGCACAAATCTGCACAGGACAAGGAGAGGCTGCTAGAGAGGATCCAGAGCATGAGGAAGGAGAGGAAGGTTTACAGTCGATTTCAGGTATGAACATGTACAGCCTCCCATGCTTTTACCATTCAAATGCACATTTTTGTTTGCCTTCGTGTCTGAATGACTTGTCTCTGTTACATTCTCAGATGGCACCTTAACCGGTATTAAAAGGTGGAGAAAGAACGTGTACAGGAAGTGTGAAAAGAATGTGAATCTAGATAAATGTTTAAAACCAGAGCAAGTGGCTGTTCCAAATGCATGTACCAGAGGTACTTCTGTACTTGTGTGTTAACAGCCCACCAGGATTAAAGTGATTGTAGGCGCTAGGTTAATCAGCACTTTGCGGCAAGTACAAATCTGTCTAAACATACCCTAAAATGAATATCACCACAGACTTACAGTATGGAGCATGAACACAGCTTTAGATTTGCCTTTTACATGTAAGACACTTAAAAGTGTTGCACGTTTACACATCAGAATAGTGTTAGCTGCAAGTAAATGATTAATGATTAAGTAATACTGGATAGAGAAGTTAGCCAAACAGATTGGAAAGAGGCCAAGGAAATAATTACACCACAGTCCATAGATAAAAACCAATGTCACCTGAGCCAAATAGACAACCTTTTTGAAAGAAAAAAATAGCTAAAGCTTGAAAGATAGAGAAAGAAGAGTAGAGGTTTAAGTTAGCCTGGAATAGTTCACTGTTATACAGCAGAAGGAAACCAAGTAAACAGCTAAATGTAGCTGAAAAGTGGCTAAAATTAAAATGGTTAAATAAGCAAATGACTAAATTCGAACAAAAAAGCTAGATACATTTTCTAAAAAGGTATAAATGAGCCATGGAATGATAAGAATTACTCAGAGATAGATCCCAGAATCCCAGAAAAAAATATTTAAACATTAGAACAGCTCATATATATTGGTATTAGATGTTCAGTGATATCTGAATATCTACATTTAACATGTACAGTAGGTTGGACAGTCTGGTAATTTATTTTACATTCCTTTAAAGAATGCATTGTGTGAACATAGCTAATGTGAGAAGCAGACGGACTGAGTGAACGTTGTGATTGAGCTTTACTGACTGCAAGGGAAAAGTGCAATTGTCGACATCTGACCTTTTTGCAGCATAGACACTAGTGTCAGCCACTTTTAAATAAAATGTGATGTCAAACTGTAACATGACTTCTTTGTAATATATGTTAGCACAAAATGTCTATTTGTAAAATATGGATCTGTGAAATATTATCTCCAAAAAGCTTGTTGATGTTCTGTTGTAAATAGTGATTTTGAAAAAATCAATATCAAACAAATTTTTGATTTAAAAAGAGGCAAGATTAGAGCAGAATGCTAGTTTTCACATCATGTAGACATATACACATCAGAGTTTGTAATGCATTTTAGTCATTTATTCAGAAATAATGATTTAATGTTAGTCTTAAAAGCTTTGTCTGTTTGTCCTAAAGTGTAATTCCACCCATATCAAGTATTGCACAACATTGTCATAATTACACTATTTGTTAAACAAAAATACAGGTATACTGTATATGTGTGCCTTTTTTTTAGCTTTTATCATGATCGAACATGTTCCATCATCTGAACTACCTCAGAAAATGAGGTTATATTTTATAATGTGCTGCGGACCTTTAAATGACTCTGGAGCTCTGTCTGACCAGGTAATCTCAAAACTGTATTTACACTTTAAGACTTTAACAGATACTATGTAGAACTGAGCTGTTACACATTTTGTTTCTTAGGATGTTTTAAAATTGTAAATAAAATGTTTAACACGATTCTTCTGACTCCTGTGTAACTCATGATACATTTTGTTGCATCTTTTATAATTGGTAATATATATATATACGTATATATATACTGTATATATTGGTAAAATGTTTTTTTTTTTGCACAGCAATTTTACTTATTGTTAATAGTAACAACCAAAGAGCTGAAAATAAGAAATACAAATGTAATGTATAACTACACAAAAACAAAATACATTTACAAGAAACTATCTTAACTATTCTGCTTTTTTCCGAGGAAATTAAATGGATACAACGTACTGGAGGTGGAGGCAGTTGAAGTGTCGTGGCGCCCTCCAGAGGTAGAAGGTAAAACAAGCAGAAGAGAGCGGAAGAAGTGAGAGGAGCGCTCCCTCACAGCCATAGTTGATGTGAGCAGGGAATCGGAGGAACTGTGCTGAATGTACTGAATTTACCAAAGTGCATTCCCTGCATAACAAATGTCAATAGGTGATTTTTTTTATTACCTTAATCCTTAAAATAACTATTATACTATTAATACTGCAGATGATGGTCAGAACTATGTTGGATTACAGGTCTCAGTTTGGCACAATTAAAGGGGAGAAGGTGAACAGAGTCCTTGAATCAATGTCATGTTTTATACAGAGCTGTGAAACTGTGAATTAATTGTGTCATCAAAAACATGTGTATCCACTGTTTATTTATTATTGTGATTAATTACAAAAATGAATAACGCAATTGACATGCTCATTTTGAATGCCCTTTGACTGGCTTGCTGTAAGGCAGGACCTTTAACCACCCTTCCACTGTGTTTCATCACCATGTGCATAACTCAGGCTTTATTTGCCTAAAGTATTTTACTTGTACTTTACTCTTGCAAAACACGCTGAAAGTGATTAAGGCCTCAGTGTAAATAAAACTGTCACATGCTGCTAGTCGTCAGCATAGCACCCTATACTTCTGGAGCGACAGTACTCCTTTTGTCTTTCAGTGCTGCTTTGCTTAGCAAATGTTGTGGTAAGCCAGAGCTGCTGTAAGTTAGACTAATCTTCAAAGAGCCAAGGCTACTCTACAGTCTGCACTTCCACTGATCCGAAGCTCAAAGACAGACAGACACAGTTTTCTTCTCTACAGTGTTTGTGTTTCATCGCGTTTATTTCCACCTGGCTTGAAATGGCTTCATACGTGAGGAGACTGTTCCACATCTCAGCCTTCAGCTGGTATGCTTTCATTGTAAAGACTCTGGCTGCCAAGGATGGAGAGGAGTTACCTGCAGGTATATTTGTTTATGGAGGACCTTGGAAGTACCTGACTTTTTTAAATTTGGTGAGTATGTACTACGGTCTCAGTTGTGTACTCCTTGATAGGTGATATTGAAAAAAGGTAGTAATGCTCCTTGTCTTTCAGTTATTGCAGACGTTTCTCTTTGGACTAGCCACAGTGAATGATCTACAACCTGGGAAAAACACAGAGCACGTTCTCAGCAGATGTAAAGACTTCATCTTCTCTGTCTTTGGCTTTCCTGTAGGCATGGTAAGAACCTTTGTTGTGTAAAAAGAATATTGACTTTGCTTTGCCTCACAGCCTTTTTTTGTTTGTCACAGTCCCACAACGTGTCGCAACACTTAGAAAGTGTCTGCTGTAGAATAAATGAAGTAAAACACCCAATAACACTTGGTACTGTTCTCTCTGTTTCTTATGTCTAGTTTGTGGTCGTACTTTTCTGGACCATCTTTGTCTACGACAGAGAGTTAGTCTACCCGGCAACTATTGACACCTTCTTTCCACCCTGGATAAACCATGCTGTGGTCTGTGACTGTTTAAATAGACTCTTTATAGCCACCAGTGTCCTATCTCACACCTAATACTTAATATCTTGCAGCACACAGTTGTCCTGCCTCTGTTACTTGGAGAAGTGCTGCTGCAGCCACACGTCTACCCACAGACTAAGAATGCTCTGGCAGCATTAGGAGCTGTGAGTCTGGCCTATATGCTGTGGTGAGTCAGCATGTACTACAGCAGAAGAGTGACATTCAAAATTCGTATAGAGCTACAAAACAAACGGATCCTGAATCCTTCAAGGCCCATTGATAACATTTTTAGACCTGTCTTCAGCAAAGAAGTTATCCAAATAGTGATTATAAATAATAAATATAAATAATATCCAAAGACTTCATTATAGATTAAATACAATTTTTGTAAATATTTTGTTGAACATTTTTACTGTAACCCTGGTAATTATTTATTTCTGTTATATTATATTAGGTCATTTCGGTCGCTTTGTTCTTGTTTACTTATTAGCGGCTGCTGCTAGCCTATCTTTAGTTACTAAAAACTAGAACTAATAATAAACTAGAATTTAGTAGGTGACCAGTTGTTGTTGGTTCTTAATATTCCGGCCGTACCATTTTGGTTGTTTTTTGTTTTTTTGTTTTTTTGTGTGTGTGAACATTTCTTTCTTTCTCTTGGATTATCTGTCAGCTAAGTTTTGCCATATTCTTGACTTATTCTTGAATTTTTGTGTTCTAAATATTAGCAATGGCTAACATTTACCTTATCTTATTAATGTTATTTATTATATCTTTAGCTAATTTTAAAATATTTTCACAACTGCTAGCTAGCCGAGAAGCACGTTTATTAGCTGTTAGCACACTTTTGGTTATTCATAGCTTTTTTGTGCTAATCCTATTTTAAAACAGTTATTGTATAAAACTCTAGGAACGCTAAAGACAAACAGCATTGATGACATTATAAGATTACAAAACAGGATTTATATGTGTAACCAAAACTGTGCTGAGCGTTGCAACATTCTAATACAGTTCAGTTTTTCAAAGGCCCATTCAGATATTTCAGACACAGTTATGAAGTCAAAATTAGAAACAGTCAATAAACTAAAGCCAGTGGGCATTATGGTTTTTCTGGTTCAATATTCCAATGTGGGAGCATAGAGTAACAGTTGTGACTACATGCAGCAGGCGTGAGGACCGTATCAGGCTGATACAGTAACACCTGAGAAGAGCTTATCTCCCTTTTTTTTTCTTTTTATTTGTGTCTAATCGTGCGTTGCAGGATTTTGTGGGTGTACAGTTCCACTGGTATCTGGGTGTATCCCATCCTGGGGCACTTCAGCAGTTGTGGTCTGGTGGGCTTCTTTTTCTTAAACACGTCTTTGGTGACCTTGTTCTACTTGCTCGGGGAGAGACTCAACAGCCTCGTGTGGAGTAAGTGAGAACAACAACAAGCGCATGAGTTAACAGAACCTGACTTGTTTTCATCGTTCACTTCCTCTTCTGCTGTTTGTCTTTTGTCCTGTCTTTTCTAGATAAAGAAGTAAAACACAGAGCAGCGAAGAGAAAGAGACAATAACTTACTTTTTCGCAATGGAGCGTTCAAGCACAAGACCGATTATTGAGAGTAAGATGATTTTACTTTGAAAAAAACTTTATTTCTTTTTTTAACTTTTGCTGTTCAAATATAAAGTTAACATAAGCACCAAAACATTTTACACCATCACTCTGGGACATTCTGTGTTTGGCTCGACCAATGTCTTCAGCAGCACATCTTACTGTTAAATGTTCCGTTTTTCTAAGCTTCCACAGGGACCATATAAATTTAATTTTAGATTTAGATTTTAGTAAGGATGTCCGATAATATCGACTGACTGATATTATCAGCCCAATATTAGCATAATTATGAAATCTCTAACATCTAATAATACATAATATCTTATTTCCTCTGATAATGAAAACCCGACAACCCAATGCCCGGGTTAAGCCAAATGATGTGTGATCAAAAAATAGTTTTGGGGATGGTAGCATTGCTGCTCATTTAATTAATCTATAGTAATAATCAGTGGATTGTATGCAGAATGCTGGTGCCAGCAACTCTATACACTGGTTTGTACAGATAAATACATAAATATTACCTAACCTATATCAGTATTGGTTGATATCGGAATCGGAAATTAAGTGACAATATTGGCATATCAATTATCGGCAAAAAGTTAATATCGGACATCCATAGATTTTAGGACCTAGTGGAACAATAAATACACATTTAATCACTTAACACATTTCTAAAAAAAAAACTAAAAAAAAAAAGTTTCGGATGCTTTTTTCACACATTTAGCCCAAATCATAGTCGGGCGTTTAGGAAATGACTCCCATGAATTAGCCCTGTCATATTTGATTCTGAAGCCAGTTTCCAATGAATAATAATATATCCAAAGGGGCAAAGCAGGGAGAAGGTTTATCAGGATGATCTCCTTCTTTTCTTGTCTCTTGTCTCTCCTTCTTTGGCAGAGATCAACCGCACTGTAAGTCCCTGTAGCCTTTCAAATGATGCAGGTAGTTAGGGTCTGCATCCACCAATCCAACTGAGAGGATTTTGGCCAGTAAATGCATATCACTTGAACTAAAAGCCTGCAACAGAGATGCGAAAGTCAGACGTATAATGACATTTTAATATAATTAGGTCAGTGTAATCTTTGGCTATTTATGAGCACACACCTTTCTGTTGATTGCACTTGACTCAGGCAGCTTTAATTTTCTAGGTTTACTCTTCTGTCAAAGACAATTATAATTTCAGAAAATTTGGCTCACCTTCTTATTTGACTCATGACTCGTGCAACGTGCTCTACCAGGTAAAAGTGTCTCTTTGTTTTTGTAGAGATTGAAAAATAACAAGAACAATGTTAAAATTACTCACCTCCTGAAGTCCTTTAGAGAAGAACATTATGATAAAGAGTAGGCCGATGATAGTCTAAATAATTAAAAAGCCACAATCAATTTTTTTACACAAAAAATGGATGAATTGACATTCACAGTATCTGCAGATAAGAAAACAATCTAAAGATGACAACATTTCCAGCAGGTTTCAACACATGTACTACAAATAGAAAAAAACAAAGGTATGACTGAAATTGATACTGAATACTGAATCATAATGCTAAAAATGATTTAAAAAATTGTAATAAATAAATAAGTTCTTTCTCAAAATAAATTACAGCTGCAAGGTAGTAATATGTGAACTGCTGAATGGCAACAATTAAAACTAAATTATATAAAAATACAATTGAATAAATAATTACTTCAGTTCACATTGCTGTAATGTTAACTTCTGCCATTATACTTACTCCCAGGAGGTACAGCATTTTCCTCTCAGCTTTGTTCTGTCTTCTGCTCTGTTGGTTTACCGATTCCGACGGTGCTGTCAAACGAATGAGCTGTTTTTGCTCTCAGTCTCCTGACCATGTGAAGAAACACCCGTAAAGATCCAGCACAACCAGATCTGCTGCATTTTCAAGAGTCACCTGCTGATTAACTCATGGCACAACAGTGTTGTCAGTGTTGAGTCAAACTAGTGTAAAGAGGTCAATCTTTTGACCTCAGTGTCTACGCAGGTTCTATTTTAGATTGTTTTTATGTCATCATAGATAACAATAAAGGTTGTTCATGGAAGTGGCCCGTGACTTATGACGCAGCACATAGAATTGTGTAATAAATATAGATCATTAGATTAAACACAGCCTTTGTGTGATTGTCTGTGTATTTTCACCTCCGAGGTTTTGTTGTGATTAATCCAATAAAAATAGAAACAAAGCATTTTTTATGTTCCACATTTGTGTAAATGGAGGATACAAATGATGAATTTCTATAGCAAAATACTATCAGAGGATATGACACATAGTTCAGTGTCCTGTGTCATGTGCCTAAAGGAATCAAATTTGTAGATTAAGTTACTAGTCATACGGGAAGCAATAGTCCACATTTTTAGTTCCTGTTCCACATTCATCAGCCATCTGGAGTCAGATGACAAATAGTTAAAGTGTGTAGTGTGTTTCCCAATAGTCAGTCTTCCTTAATAATGCAATGATACAAAAGACAGACATGTTTAAAGTGTACAGCCAATTACGTATACCATCAAGGTTTATGGACAGTAAGGATACGCATCGTGAAGTTCATTAACGATATCACAACCACTAGAGGGAGTCAGATATTGTATTTGTAAGATCACTAAATTATTTACAGTTGTGCACATTGATCAGTAATTTGAGATCAAAATGCAACATAAAAGAGTGGTCAAGATAATAAAACATACAGGAAAAAGACCCCAAAATAAATAAAATATTTAAAAATAAAAGATGAAAGACTAGAGAAAATAATGTTAGTTTCAAAATAGATTGACCGTTTGTGTGTTAGTTTAGCAGAGAGGAGAAGAGATCATTGTGAAATTTTAAATTCCAAAGAGTGACATGGTGGTTATAACCATTGCTTTACAAGAAGATCAGCAGTTCAGTTTTTATGGTGTTTGCAGTTCAGTTTTTAGAGTTTGCATCTTCTCCCAATGTGTGAAAATGGAAGTCAGTCTCCTCCCACACTCCAAAACATGGAGATTGGACACTGGTTAACAGGGCCATGTTATCAAACCATGCTGGAATTGTGACACTAAACAAGACTAAGCAGTAGAGGACTGATGGATGGAGGGCTGGATGGATGACAGTTAATCAATAATGATATAACTTTTATCAACAGAGAAGTTTGGGTTACGGAAGCTAAGTAATGTGAGGTTGAAACATGTAACAAAAACATATACACATACACCTTTTGTATAAAATCAGAAGAAACTGAGGTTTGAGAAATGTTATACAAACCACAGATGGAGAATATTCATTTATTTGATACACTTGCACTTAATGACTTAACAGGGGAATACCTGTATGTCAATGTGAGGACTTTCTTATTCAATTTTGTAATTAGGGCATTTATGTGTTCTTATCTCCACTTCCAAGTTGGTCATCGATATAAAAATAATACTGTGAACCTTGTGTAACTATTATTAATCATTTACTTTTACTTTACACCTTACATTGTCTCTCAATACTTTATGACAAAATCACAGTAACAAACATGTTCACTCACTGTACTGACATGTGCAAGCGTGTGTGTACAGTCTGTCCATATCCGCCACACATGTGCGCATGCGTTTTGTGTCTCTCTAGAACAGTTCAGAAACGTCGCGACATTTCTTCAGCTCAGAGTAAAAAAACAGCACCGTTTCCACTAGGTTAGACAAACCTTCAAAACAAAGCTAACCACCCTGTACTTAAGATACAATTGTTTAACGCTACTGTTTAAATTATATAGTCAGATAAACCTTAAAAAAACTTTTAAAAAAGCAACTAAGCAAAATAAATTCTACCATGTGGGCTTCATAGCGATGTGCGACGTATAAGTATTTTATCGTGAAAAGCTTCATCGGATATCACATTCATCGCATCACACTATTTATAACATGACAGATTTTCTCAACGTACCTTATACACAGGCGTTGTTGACAGAGCAGTTGTAGCTTAAAAATATAAGCTGGTAATTGGCTTTCTTAGTTTAAAAATCTAAAACTGCGCAAGTATGTGCATATTGAACGGCTGGGGTGTATAGAAGGCTCAACAGCTGGTCACTCAAACCCTGTCAGGATTTGGTAAGCTTGGCTTTTTTGCTTTTACGAATATAAACCTCGTTAGCTTTACCCAGACTCTTAACTTTCAACTTGTCACAAAAACGCCCATGTGTAACACTGTTTAGTTGTTTTTTTTTATATGCATGTGTGTGTCCTCTATTTACCCTGTTAACTACAACCCATGTATAACGTTTGACTACTCAAAGCAACGGCCCTAATTTTTGAACGCTATGCTGCTGTATAAGTGTCACCACGTGTCTTACGGTTTTATTGTAGAATTATTTTCTAAAATTATTATTGCAACTAGTAACCGTATTGTCATTGTATATACCTCATAAAACTTACTTCTGCTGCCCGCATTAGCTGTGTGGTCCTAATCTCGATTAACCATCGCCAACAACTTACTAGCTATTATCTGCAAAATACAGTTTGCGTATTCTGTAATTTACATTTAAGCACTTATTCTTTTTTAATTAAAAAAAGTGGATTTAAATTAGTAGTATTTGTAGCATATCTCATAGTCCTCATTAAAACTACTATTCTCGATTGTCTGAGACACCTGTCAACACCTGTACAACTGATAAACTGTGCTTCGACTCAAGTGCACAACTTGAGTCAAAGCACTAGCTGCACAGATGACCAGCTATTCTTTTCTCCCGATTGGAGACAGTTGTCCCAGCCAAGATACTCTGGTTTTTGTTTTTGCAGGCACTCATAAATACTTGCATATACAAGCAGAATTCTACGGATTAGGTCAAAGTTTTGTTTTTTATTTTAGAACCTTATTAAGGTGAGGTCAGAGTAAATAAATCACTTTAAGAATATGCAGATTAGAAAAAATGTTTAGACAGATCGTTCTTTTCATAACTTGAGTTTTCATGTTGTGTCAGACTACAAGAACCTTGTACAGACTAATAACTGTATTTATATCACACAGTCTGCAGACATAAGTTAAGGTAACAATGGTTAATTTTATTCTAAGCTTTATAATCTCCAGCCAACAGTGCCCCTGAATGTTCATCTTGGATTTTTACAGAGACCTCTGGCGAGTTGAGCCAAGAAAAAGGGGGAGGAAGAAGGGTACCAAGATGCTGTGCTGGGGAAATGCTTCATATGGACAGCTGGGTCTAGGTGGCATTGACGAGGAGATTGTGGTTGAGCCACGGATATGTGAGTTCTTCCATGGCAAGAGAGTGTCTGATGTTGGGTGTGGACGTAGACACACAGCTATCTTGTTAGAGGATGGAACCGTGTACACCTGTGGATGCAATGACCTTGGGCAGCTGGGACATGAGAAGACCAGAAAGAAACCAGGTTGGTGCGCAAATCTGTGGTAAAAAACTGTTTGTGCAAAAATGTTGGATATTACTAAGAATATTAGAAAACATTGGTATTCCCTATAAATATATTCTCTTGAATATAAAAATAATGTATTAATTTGAAAACTATATGGACTTATAAAAAGACTATAAAAAGAGTTTATTGACTTTGTAAACTGAGTGAGTTGTTACTTGTTTTTTCACTAGACCTGCTTTTAGCTAAACATTGGGATAGCGTTTCGAATTAACAACATCCAGTTTTACTTTGAAATGTCAGTTTCAATTCAGTGTCAGTGTTGTGTGAAGAGTGTCAACACCAAAGACTGGAAAAAGTAATGTGGCCTTTCAGGTTAAACATATTGTAGTTTGATTTCAAAAGATACTATCACTTCAGATTTTTCTTCATAGCTCTGGTACAATGCCTTATTGTATGTTCTTATTGAAACATTTAACTGGTCCATAACATATACTGTAAACATATGGTTTTTTTTTAATATTGTAGTATAGATGTGGCTATAGAAGCCTCATAATATAAAAAAATATCTCTTTTTCTTCAATCAGAACAGGTTGTGGCTCTGGATGCACAGATAATTGTAGCGCTGTCATGTGGAGAGTCCCATACACTTGCCCTTAATGACAACGGGCAGATTTTTTCGTGGGGTCTGGGCTCAGATGGGCAGCTGGGCTTGAATAACTTTGATGAATGTGTTCGTGTGCCTAGGTAAGATCAACGCAAGTAATTTTCCTAATGCTAAGCATGTACAGTATACAGTATACTGTATGTAGTAGGCTTTAGTACCACAAAGCATTATTTCCTGAGTCTTCATCACCAGTTTTATCTCTTTTATAATAAATGTATGCATCCTTTAGATAATTATTCACAGACATAATTGAAAATCGTATATTTAAATGTTTTTAAGATTAGGCAGTTGTGTGAAACATTTGTTACAAATAAAGTAAAAAAGAAATGGAGCAATTTAATTGCTCCAGAGAACAATTTGCATCATCAGCCTCTTGACCATTAAATAAAAAGTGTCTAAAAATTCTCACATGAAACTTTCCTGCATTCAGCCTTATGTTTATTCTAATGTTATTTTAATTTTCTTAGAAATATTTTTTCAACCCTTTTTCAACTCTGTCTTTGCATATTTTCCCCCTACGTTCCCCTTTAAATGATAGAAACATCAAAATTTTGTCAGATGTACAAGTCACTCAGGTAGCCTGTGGTTACTGGCACTCCCTCGCACTTTCAAAAGGTGAGGATCGCTTGTATTGTTATGAAACACATTTATGAAGCAACATTTATGTGCTTGTATTCATATTTATTCTTTGTACGTATACTGTATGTGTCACTTTAAAGGAGGCCATATCTTCTCATGGGGCCAGAGTCGATATGGACAGCTTGGACTAGGAATGCAGGGACACAGCGTTCCTACACCTCAGATCATTCAGTCTCTGCAGGGCATTCCTTTTGCACAGATATCAGCAGGAGGGGCTCACAGCTTTTCCCTCACACTGTCAGGAGCGGTGTTTGGTTGGGGCCGCAACAACTTTGGTCAGCTTGGTCTCAACGACACCAACGGTGAGTGGTCCGGTCCCCTTAAATACTCAGGAGCATTCGCTTTCCAAAACCAGACTCAATGTTATGTGGTTTTTTTTTTGTTTTGTTTATTTTTTGTTTGTTTTTTTCAGATCGTTGTTACCCAGTCCAGCTGAAGTCCCTGAGATCGCAGAGAGTCATGTATATCTCCTGTGGAGAGGATCACACAGTGGCACTGACCAAGGTGAGTTATATACTTAGTATATATACTTACAGTATATACTTACAGTATATACTTGAAAATATGAAATAAACCTGGTTTATTGCAATTTACAAGTCATTAGTCATTAGAATTTCACTTTATACCATTTACCTTTTGTTATTAAGGTAATGTACCTGTAAAAAACAGAATTTCACTTTATACCATTTACCTTTTGAATCAGGTTTTTATGACATTCCTCAGGACAAGGACACCACAGGAGTACAACCACAAGCTGCCAATAACACTCATGGCACTTGTTTTTTTTGTTTTTTTTGTTAGCTCTTAATAACTTTTCTTTGTGATTTTACAGGAGGGAGGTGTGTTCACATTTGGGGCAGGAGGTTATGGACAACTTGGACATGGCTCTACAAACCATGAAATTAACCCAAGGAAAGTGTTTGAGCTTATGGGGAATGTAGTCTCACAGGTAGCATGTGGCAGGTGAAGTTAATATTTTCCACCATCATCACCAGTCACTTCCGGTGTGTGTTATTATAAGTCAACCACATCTAACATATTGGGTTCTATTTTGTTAAAGGCAGCACACATTGGCTTTCACGCCAACATCTGGAAAGATTCACTCATTTGGACTCGGGGGTAATGGGCAACTTGGAACACGTTCTACCAGCAACAGGAAAAGTCCATACCCTGTCAAAGATCCTGTCCTACCCCCCATCTCTCCACCATCTACAGGTAAGACACAAACAGCTGCTTATTGAAATGGAATCGTACCTTAGCTTTTTTGTGTCTCCATCTCATCAAGTTCCTGACGTGTGCAGATACAGGGCTGTAGTCTGTATGAAATACTTTTCTTTTTTTATTACATTAAAAGGTTTGTAATGGAGACAAGGGATCAACAGGGTAAAACCATGGAATGTGTAACTTTGGTAATGTGGTATTGTCGCATGTTCTGCTCTGTTGAGATGGTTGTACTTATAATTTACATACCGCCTTATCCCTGAAAATGGTACCTCTACGAACTTCTGCAGTGGAAGTGCACATTGTGTAGCCCTGTGAAATACTGACAATTTTTTAACACTATAAAGCGGCTGTACATGATTAATTTTATCAGTTTGTTTATACAAAATTAAATTAACATACAAAACTACTGCTGTGCCTCCTCATGTTTGTCTTTATCTCTTTTTCTAACTTTGCAGAATCTTTTTATGTGAAGAGGATTTATGCTGGAGGTGATCAGAGTTTTGCCCACTATTGTAAGGCAAATGTAAGTTTTCAGATAATGAAGAGGGTTGTATCATATCACTGCCTTGTTCCATGATGGTGCTTCTGTCTTAAGATATAAACTCTTAAGTTTTTCTTAATTGTTTTTCTTCTCATGTCAGAGCATAGAAGATGTGAGTGTACAGGAACCGCACAGGAAACTGTGTACCCTGAATGAGGAGATCATACAGAAGTGGTTGAATCATTCACCAGGGCGACTTCCACTTGATATTTCAAAGTAAATTATTAAAAAAATAATAATAATTAATGACATTGTTTATATGTGTGTGATAGACCTACTGTCTCTACAACTGCAGGATCTGTCAGGACTATAACTTGTTTTTTGATTTTTTTTTTTTCTTTAGACTGTATAGTCACACTAATTATTCTCATGCCATTATTTCCTCAGTGAGATTGACCTCGTGTTCTCCACACCAAGCTGCCTCAATGGATCTTTTCTGTCAAAAAGGTAAAAATAAGTTTCAATGACATTCTGTCAAAACCTTACAAATGTCAGTAGTATTTTTTATTCTTATTTGTATTATAATTATTGTTGATGTCTATCACAAATGAATGTCCTGTCAGATCCGTTTTTTATTTTTTTATTGTCACTGCCAGGAAAATGTGAAGCTGAAGTTGGCGTTTTTATTTTTTTTAATCTTTAGGATTTCAGTTGTTTCTGACATTTAACTTGTCATAAGTGATGAGGTTGTCTTGTTAGGCCTTTATTGTACTCTACGTACAATACTTATTGCACTTGTGTTTTATTTTTTCTTCTTTTTAGTCATCCAGATCACTACTGCACAAGCAGCAAATATTCAGGAGTGGATATGAATATGGCTCGCGTCCTCTTTCACAGACTTGTCCGACCAGGTCACCCTGAGATTTCTCAGCAGGTCAGTGCTGTTGTTCATGCACCATAATCACAAGCTACGTACACTAATTCCTTCTGACTTAATTGGGCTATTTCATAGAACAGTACTGGTATCACTTTATAATTAGATATTAAATATTTTCTCTTTGTCTTTTGCAGATTGCTGCAAGTCTAGAAAAGAACCTCATTCCCAGACTGAGCAACTCTCCTCCAGACATTGAAGCCCTCAGGCTCTACCTCACCCTTCCAGTATGCCCACTCTTCAGTGACCAAAATAATTATGTGACCATTGCCATCCCATTTGCCAAATCACTCATCAGCCTAAAAGAGGCTCCTCTGAAGGTGCTGGGTAAGATGATTTTTTTTCATGCCTTACATGACAAGACCAATAATTCTCATGTGCAGTCATATTTATGGTCTTCGCTTTGTGACAGGAAACTGGTGGTCTAGGTTTGAGCCTCCAGTCTTCCAGCGGCTGGTAGAGTTGTACAAAGAGGTGGTGGTTTATCTCCTGAAGATGAACAAAGTGGGCATCCCATCGGTAGAGCAGAGGATCTTTACTTGTTTCCTGGACACTTCCCTCAGACTTCTGGAGCTCCTGCACAAGGTGGGAACAACAAGGGTTGTGGATTTTTAACAGGGTCATGTTAGCTGTGTACATCAAAAGTCATGTACAACTTCTGTAAATGGTCCCAGAATCATAAGATTATGTCATTTCCCCAATGTACCAGGTGAGCGATAAGGCAGGACACATAATCGAGTATGACAAATTCTACATCCACGAGTTGGACGACCTAATAGACATCAGACGTGACTATGTCACATGGATTCAGAGGCAGATGTATCCTATGGTGAGTCAGCCACTGAGGTCGATACCATGAATAACACTATTATTTTTGCTTGTCTTAAGATGAACCTATTTGCTTGTTTGCCTGCAGGGTCACGACGGTGTGGTGACTCTATGCAGGTATCCTTTTGTATTTGATGCCCAGGCAAAGACGACCCTGCTTCAGACTGACGCCTTCATTCAGATGCAGGTAATTACAGCCGATCAAGGTTGCTTATGTTTTCCTTTTTTTATTTGAAGCAGATTCATCTGTATTATTTTAAAGAAAGCTCGTTCTTTGTCTCAATGCATCGTAGATAGCAGTGGACCAAGCACAGATGCAAAACATAAGTTCCATGTTCCAACCAGCTGTGGAGTCTGTGAATCCCTGCCTTATACTTATCGTACGGAGAGAAAATATAGTCGGAGACACAATGGAAGTCCTGAGGAAGTCCAACAATGTGGACTACAAGAAACCACTGAAGGTAAAGAAAGGAGTCCATGGATCTCACTGTTGAGTAAGAAGAAGAAGAAGTTACAGTCACAGAGCTCATAATTGTATTCAGATGTGAACAGGACTTGAAAAACTGCTTCAGAAGAGTATGAGCATGTTCTGGGCTGATTCTGTAATCTCTTATAACAGTATAATCAAACCCTAATGCAGTAACAAGAGCATGGTTAAAGAGGCTGTGTGGAGGAGAAAGTTTATAAAGGGTATTTATTGATAAGCAGGTGAATGGGACTAATCTAATGAGGTGGGCTTGACCTTTGTGCTGCTTACAGCAGAAGTGAAGAAAATGGAAAGGCTGGTACCTTTCCATTTTATTTTATTTTCGGAAGTTAAAATGTGTAGTGGACTAGAATTTAATCAATTACATTAAGCTAACTAAGCTGTTCATTTTTTCTTTCTTTGTCCATGGCAGGTGATCTTTGTTGGAGAAGATGCTGTGGATGCGGGAGGCGTTAGAAAGGAGTTCTTCCTTCTGATCATGAAAGAGCTGCTGGACCCCAAATATGGCATGTTCCGTTACTACGAAGAGTCCAGGCTCATCTGGTTTTCAAACAAGGTACTTGTTTTTCCGTCGACCTACTTGAATAATTTATCTTTGAAATCCCACATTGCTGCAATATCACTAAATAATTATTTTGAAGTGCACTCTAGCCTACCCTTGACAATGTGAGCATTGTTAGTCTTATGAATATGTATACTCTGTTCTCAGCAGTATAAAGCAGTGCCCTTAGTAATGTCTTAATGATTTCTCTGTGTCTCCCGTGAAGACCTTTGAAGAACATGACTTGTTCAACCTCATCGGGGTCATCTGTGGTCTGGCTATCTACAACCTCACTATAGTGGAGCTCAACTTCCCTTTAGCTCTCTACAAGAAGCTACTGAAGAGGCAGCCAACACTGGACGACCTGAAAGAGCTCATGCCAGATGTGGGAAGGTCAGATCAAAGAGCTAACTCTTACTCACTGACAGGAATCTGGTTTTTGAATCCACCTGTGGCCAACATCACAGCTCTGTTGTAGCACTGACAGGGATGCATCAGAAAGCTTTAAAAACAATGCTAAATCATTCTCAGGACTAAAACTGCAGTGACCTCTGCTGAAGGGAAAGACACAGTTGATCTACAGTGTATTGATAATATTGTATGTTCTATTTGTGTAAATAGGAGCTTGCAACAGTTACTGGACTACACAGAAGACGACCTTGAGGAAACTTTCTGCTTGAACTTCACAGTAAGGATTCAGTCTGTGACCTCAGTGGTGAAAGTACCAGGTGTTTCCTGTAAATCATGTAACAGAAAACTAAACATGTCTTTTCTTCTAGGTCACTGAGGATAACTATGGTGTCACAGAGGTGTTGGAATTAGTCCCGAATGGTGAAGAAATCAATGTAAATAAATCAAACAGGTAATTTATGCTGTCCACTTCACCATACCAGTAACAAATGTTTTTAAATGATTATATCCAAATGGTATATACAGTGGAACCTCAGTTTTCGAACTCAATTTGTTCCTGAAGGCTGTTCATGAACCTAAAAGTTTGTAAAACGAAATAATTTTCCCTATATGAATCAATGTAAAATGGATTAATCCGAAAGAACAGTTTTTAGCGTGTATATCCCGAATTACAGTAGGTTACATTAAATATACAACATATTTACATCTACAGATTTGTGATTCATCTCCAGGCTGTTGAGAACAAAATACCTGTTGAGGTCCAGTGTAGATGGAAGAAAAAGAAGGAAATGGATTGTCACAACAAAATGCTTTAATTCAGGTTTATCTTCAGTTCATCCACTTTACGCCTACAGATATGAATAAATAGATTAATATAAATTTATTTTAGGAAACATAGTTATTTTTTGGGGAGGGGGGGTATGTCTATTTAACATGTTTGTAATTTTTTTTTTGTCTTTAGGCAGGACTTTGTCAATGCCTACGTTGACCATGTCTTCAACAATTCAGTGGCTCCACTGTTCAAGTGTTTCTACGCAGGCTTTCACAAGGTTTGTGGAGGAAAAGTTTTAGAGCTGTTCCAGCCGAACGAACTGCAGGCCATGGTCATTGGAAACACAAACTATGACTGGACAGAACTTGAAAAGGTCTGTTTAAAAAAAAATGTTTTCATTGGCTCACTTGATCAACAGCTGCTTTGTAGATAAAACATTACAAATTCTGTCTCCTCCCTTTTTAGAGTACTGAATACAAAGGGGAGTACTGGGCAGATCACCCCACAATCAAGCTCTTCTGGGAAGTGTTCCACAGTCTTCCTCTAGAGAAGAAGAAACGATTCCTCTGTGAGTACCGACACTAATCCCACCAGTAAAGCTCATTTTTATTCCTGGTATGATTGTGAGGATTCTCTGCTCACACTGAAAGTAAAATGTTGCCTTTTCAGTATTTGTCACAGGAAGTGACCGCATCCCAATCCTGGGCATGAAAAGCCTGAAGCTGCTCATCCAGCCCACAGGTGGAGGAGAGCACTACTTACCTGTGGCCCACACCTGCTTCAATCTGCTGGACTTGCCTAAGTACACACGTTTAGAAACTCTCCAAGAGAAACTCTTGCAGGCTATAGAGCACAATCAAGGCTTTAATTTAGCCTGAACACTCACAGAGATGCCTAGAACTTTATAAGAATGTCGACAGCAGCCACCCTCCTGTGTGTTTTGTTTTTTATGTGATTGAGGTTGAAAGGAGGAGCATATGTAACAAGGTGAGGCCCACGTTAGTGTTCTAAAAATACATTAAAACATTTTATCATTTAGAAAATTTTGAAGTGTGTTCATAGCAGCTCGATGCGTTATTGTTAAAAAGGAATAAATGGTCTTGTCCATTATTCTTGAGCAGCCCTTTCACTTGGATTCAGGTTCAAGATCCAAAGTAACTGGCTAAGACATTTATACCAAAAAACATTTAGTTCCCAATGAGTATTAAGCCAAAACAATGAACAGTTCTACATCCAAAAATCAGGTCACACTGACCTTGTCAAGATTAGGTACGGGCAAGCAAAAAAAGGTCACAACACACCATTGTTCTCCTCAACTTATTGATGTCTGTGATTAAAGTGAAAAGACAGAACTACAAAAAGTTCCAAGTCATTGTATCAATCAATGCACAGTTAAAGACTGTGCTGAGCTGGTTCTACCAGAGAACACCAGCGTGAGAACCAGCTCAGCCAACAAACCCTGAACAGAAGCTGTAGAAAATGTTTAAACGAATGTTAGGAGGGCCCTTTGGAAGACAATCCCTGCAGATTGTTTTTTTCTTTTCATGCTATGCTGCATCCATTATTGTGAACGCATTTGTCTGGTCTTCATTAAAATCCATATAAAGGTGTGTGCAAAGAATGTGCTGTATCATCTGAATGTTCTACCAAAACTAGACGTTAGTGAAGAGGTCGATATAGAGAATTTTACAATAATCTTGACTTGTATTTCTTCTTGCAGTACTTGGGATATTTTTGGGATATATTTGGGTATGATGATCCCAGATACTGGTATTTACTTTACAGGGCATGCATACAGCAGCATTATCTCCTGTCATTTATAATGAAATGCAGCAGAACTTATTTTTGGAGTTCATGTAATACAATAGTTAAGTATTTAGATGGTTCACAACGCTGGAGGACAACCCCCAAAAAATTACTTTTAACTTTAGCCTCAAAAACACAAACATAAAAGAAAATCAACCTAAGGCTATCCGTTTCAACAGAGAAACATGAGCTCCACTGTATGTGTGTTTGTGTATTTTAAAAGACAAAGAAATAGATGATTGTGTCTAATCTCTGCATTAAACGTTTGAAACCAGACAATGTAAAGGTAACTCTTTATATTCCTAGATTCTAGATTAAGGTTCTTCAAATGCAGTACACCAATAATCTACCAGTGATATATTATGTAGAAATGACACAAAAATATGTGGAAGTGCCTACACGTGTTATTACAAAGGTCTTAACGATACGCTGACCACATATTAAGACAATGGAAATCATAAATTATCAGATAAAAAGTATGGCCAAAATATCCACACAAAACTTAAATGGCCAACATGTTCCATTTAGAAGACTACACGTTTCTGCTAATATACCTGAGATTTATGTCCCTTGTGTCAGCCAATGGATATAACACACTTTTGATGTTGTGGTTATTTAATTTTTTTATGGATTGTACAGCATACATAACTTTTTGAGTTGAAGTTTGCAGGCACCTTTAAAGTTATCCATTGATATTGAAACTAATTAAAAGGAGAAGATATAGTTTGTAGCCTTACTGTCTAATGAGTGCTAAAAATGACCAGTGACTTTTATTTTTGGAAAAAGCATGTGGGATTAAATCATCAACACATGTACTGTATAGCCAGACGGTTCAGTTCAAGGGTCACACTTTAATGATCAACATTACACATCGAAGTATATATGGCCACGTAGAAGGCAAATGTGATTGTCTTTGTCATGTTTCTGTAGAAGTCACATTATTTTTAATGAAGCTCTTCATGGCTCACCAGCTTATAGTGGGTACCACAGGAAGGACAGCGTTGTGGTTTCCCATCATGGACCCAGAACCATACAATGGCAGTGTTGTCTTCCTCACCTGCAGAAAATATTTTTAAACGAAAACTTGCTTTGTCAAGGAGAAACAAAAGATTGAGAGAACTTGTTTTACTTACAAATACAGCCAACCAGCCTCTTGTCTATACTGCATGGCACAAGCTGAGGGTTTTCCTTGGTGCCAGGATAGAGCTTCGGCTTCAGTACACTGTATGGATCCTGTAGTGGAAAATTTTAACACAGGATTTAAGGACATGATAGTTATTGCATATTGTCATTAGAGAAGAAGGAAGTGAATTATTTGTCATTGTGAGACAGCCGACCACTGCACACACAACGAAATGTATATGCAGTGGTGTGCTTTTAACTCATCAAAGTGAGCAGGGGGCAGCTTAAGCACCCCGGGGGACAGTGCCTTTTCAGTGCACTTCAGTGGTAACTTGGCAGTTGGTGGATTCGAGCCTTTTGGACCCAAGTCTGCTTCCTTAACCACCAAGCCAACATTGCCCCATAATGAGACTCATCATCATGAGAATACAGTGATTAATATTAACTGTTAATTACAACCACTATGTTGTACCAGCCAAATACAGTAACTCATAGAACAGGACTTTTAAATTTGTCAATAGTGCCACCTGCAGGACCAGCAAGAGAGCTACATTTGCTCTCCTCGAAAACTACTGTAGACTGTTTTTAACAGTATAATTTTCATGGCTGTCCACGTCATGCTGATTTGATTGGCAAAATGTGAAATATAATAATTCATATAAAGACATGTTTTCAGCACACTGTAGAAGACAGGTCAGTTGTGATGCCTTACAGCAAGAGGGTTTTATCCTTAACCATAGGTATGTATTTTTTTCTGTTATCCTTCTGTGTGGGTGTTTTAACTGGTTATTCTAATTTCTTCACCAAGTCCAAAATCCTAAAGAATTAAATTAACTAGATTAAAGTGTGTATGGATGGCTGTTTAGTTTTTGTGTTTTTTTATATAGTCTTTATTGTCATTGTTCCATGGGGATATGTGTTCCTGTGATGGACTGTGATGAATGAATGAAGAAATATTTAGGTGATCACTTGCATGCTAAAACAGAGAGCTTACTTTTCCCTCTTTAAATCCCTGTAGGACACGTCGTTCCAGCCCAGTGGCCTGCTCCTCATCTGTTGGTATCCCTAAAAAACATAACATTGGGTTTTCACTGAAAAAATACATGCCTTTGTGCCAACAATTATTAGACTATATCAGTCATTGACTGAGCATGTGTGTTTGAGTGCCACAGAAACTGCACGTCAGCAATGGATGGAGGCCTCCACCCACACCAATGTCCCTTATGAGGAAACTGGCATCAGACCAACACACGCCTGCCAAAGAAGGAGGGTCAATCAAAGGCCTTTTCAAACACACAAAGTCCTGATGACCTTCACTACACGTACTGTATATTAACAGCATGTTGAGGTTTGATTATTGAAACATAAATACAAATAAGTCATCTTAAACATAGTGTTTAAACTAATAACAGCAAATGTATATATTAGTTTAAGCACATGTCTGCTCCAGCAACACGGTTTTTTGTTGTTGTTCTTGTATAAAATAAGAGTCACTTGGGGCAAGTACATTTGGAGTATTCTTTATTATCCAGGGTTACTTGAGGTCTCACACTTGACCTGTGATTGCCGCTCTCTGACACTGCTCCGCTCGACTGTCTGATACTTTTCCCAATAATGAAAAACTTACCGTCTATGGCCAAAGCTCGCTGAAACGGTTTTGCCACCGCATTCCTACCCAGACGCAATGTCGTTGAAGTGCAGGCTCGAATAAGCAGACGTCCCGCCATGTTTGTGCTACTCTTACTTTCTGTTAGTCAAGTCAGGTAAATGACACACGCAATCCGCTACGACTTGGCCAGAAACGACCCCGACAAGTGTCATATTGACAGACATTTGAACCAATCACAAAGTAGAAGAAGCTCCAAGCAACCAATAAAATTTAGCCAAAAGTGTAAGAGAGCATAGCAAAATCTATAAATAAGACTCTTTGGAACTGCGAGCGCTTGAGCTAGACCTAACTCCAACCTTAAAACTACGAATATATTTGTAAATATACATTTGAAGCCGTTCAGACTACAGTACACTATTTGTAAGTAAACATTAGCTTGAAAAAAGTCCTGGTCCCTGAAAATATCCATATGAAAATCCCGTAATTTTCACATGAAAATATAAAAATAATAATCCATTGCTTTTCAGATACGCTAATCGAGTAAACATGTATTTATTGGCATTGTTAGGTTAAAAGTTATGTAAATCAAAAATGTTGCCATTTATCAAAACCAATGATAAACCGGGTACTTAACATTCAGATAAACATATATATGATATATATGATATATATCATATTTTGTAGGCTTAAGTGATGTTTTTATTTTTTAATTGAAAACGATCAAAACAATATATCTAAGGAAAAGCCAGACTCGTCCTTTATTTTTTGATTAAAAATGTTATTGTACCTTTCCTCCAGGGGGAGGCAGTGTCGGACCAGCGAACTCTCTAGTCTTCTAGATGGTTGCCAGGAAAACATAGGGGAATAAAATGTCGGCTGTGTTACAAAGAAGGGCAAGAAAGCAGTAGAGTAAATGGCCCATTTGTTTGAAAACGAAAAAATGAATAGAAAAAGACTGGGTCCCGCTGTATTACTCAGGCTGCACTACAGCGTCTATTCACGGGCGCGATCCCACTACTGAGCGGCACGGGGGCTTTGACCTGCTCCGTTTCCGACCTGGGCCGGTGCACCCCTCCTTAGGCGACCTGGTAGTCCCGAGCTCCCCCGGGAGCACCATATCGATACCGAACTTAGTGCGGACACCCGATCGACATAGTCCGCAGCAGCTCAGATCTCCTGAGCTCAAACGATCCGCCAGCCTTAGCCTCCCAGTGACTTGGATTACAGGCGCGCGCCACCACACCCGGCGCTTGTACATGGCTCATATCGGACTTTTAGCTTTTACCTAAATGACGTCATCATGCACTGGAGTGACATCTACTGGTGAAAACACGCATCATCTATAATGATTTATAATTGACCAAGTCTTACCAACAACTGTATCTCGTATATCGGTTGGCCTCTCGATCTTATTTATACCAAACAACTAATATCCAAACACGAAACAACATACCTAAAGCGTATCTTTAAAAACAAACAAAAAACATATATAGAGATGTAGCAGAAGTCGCCTCCGGGTATTCTTAATACACTCTACAAAAAATAGTGCTTTTACACTAGATTGTATAACGTGGATGGGTTGGCAATGGATTTTAACCTAAATCTCAAACAAACGAATGAAACTCTAAGACAATGTCATTACTCCTATAGGTTTAACGATAAAATGCCATTAAGTCATTAACTGTTATTAAGGGAGAACAACCAAATCTCTGGTTTGGTACGTCATATACACACTTTAATAAGATGCAACACATACTGTAGCTAAGGTTCTCTTTGATGATTGAAAAACAATAGACATGTTGTTTTTGTAAATTACTTGATCAGTACAATGCCAGTACATCTAATCTAATTAGATAGCAATCCAAAGAGTGTTTTTGCTCGACTGTGCTTGGTTCCACTCCAGATCAGATTTTTCTCCTAATGTCATTGTCTCTTGTCTTCTAGCAACAAGATGAGGTCTATTGTTGTAACTGCCAAAATACCACACATGAATTGATTTTTTTTCTTTATTACTGACAATATTGACACTATACACAAGTAAATAACGTACACAGAAAGAATCAGTTTATTTTCACACTGTAAACAGACCTGTCTGAAAAACAAGACACACAACACTGACATTTGCATCACATGGTAAGTCATTGTGAATACAACATCACTACAACTGCTATGCTCATAAAAATAACAACATGACTACCAAATACATATATAAATTAAATAATTTCATTGTAACTCTATTCCACAGATAAGGCATGTTATAGACCATGAGAGCCAAACAACATAAAACACAAACATTCGAACAACTCTGGTTTGTTATTGTATTCAGATTTCATAATTTCTGAACTTCTGCAAGAGACTGGATGGAGAGTCCGCAATCGACATAGTCCGCAGCAGCTCAGATCTCCTGAGCTCAAACGATCCGCCAGCCTTAGCCTCCCAGTGACTTGGATTACAGGCGCGCGCCACCACACCCGGCGCTTGTACATGGCTCATATCGGACTTTTAGCTTTTACCTAAATGACGTCATCATGCACTGGAGTGACATCTACTGGTGAAAACACGCATCATCTATAATGATTTATAATTGACCAAGTCTTACCAACAACTGTATCTCGTATATCGGTTGGCCTCTCGATCTTATTTATACCAAACAACTAATATCCAAACACGAAACAACATACCTAAAGCGTATCTTTAAAAACAAACAAAAAACATATATAGAGATGTAGCAGAAGTCGCCTCCGGGTATTCTTAATACACTCTACAAAAAATAGTGCTTTTACACTAGATTGTATAACGTGGATGGGTTGGCAATGGATTTTAACCTAAATCTCAAACAAACGAATGAAACTCTAAGACAATGTCATTACTCCTATAGGTTTAACGATAAAATGCCATTAAGTCATTAACTGTTATTAAGGGAGAACAACCAAATCTCTGGTTTGGTACGTCATATACACACTTTAATAAGATGCAACACATACTGTAGCTAAGGTTCTCTTTGATGATTGAAAAACAATAGACATGTTGTTTTTGTAAATTACTTGATCAGTACAATGCCAGTACATCTAATCTAATTAGATAGCAATCCAAAGAGTGTTTTTGCTCGACTGTGCTTGGTTCCACTCCAGATCAGATTTTTCTCCTAATGTCATTGTCTCTTGTCTTCTAGCAACAAGATGAGGTCTATTGTTGTAACTGCCAAAATACCACACATGAATTGATTTTTTTTCTTTATTACTGACAATATTGACACTATACACAAGTAAATAACGTACACAGAAAGAATCAGTTTATTTTCACACTGTAAACAGACCTGTCTGAAAAACAAGACACACAACACTGACATTTGCATCACATGGTAAGTCATTGTGAATACAACATCACTACAACTGCTATGCTCATAAAAATAACAACATGACTACCAAATACATATATAAATTAAATAATTTCATTGTAACTCTATTCCACAGATAAGGCATGTTATAGACCATGAGAGCCAAACAACATAAAACACAAACATTCGAACAACTCTGGTTTGTTATTGTATTCAGATTTCATAATTTCTGAACTTCTGCAAGAGACTGGATGGAGAGTCCGCAGCCCAACGGAAACGTCGATGGCAGTAGTCACCTAAACAGTAACGACAAAAGGTAAAAAAAAAAAATCTTATTTTGAGTTAAAAATAATGGTACCTAGAAATATTTTTTTATCTTTATAGTTATAAATTGGAATAGATGTCTGTAGCCATCACAACAATTAATCAAAAGTACATGGCACATGAACACAGAATTATTTGCAATAAAAACATCATTGCAACCACAAAAAGCCTTTTGAGTATTAATACTTACTTGACAATGACGTGGCATCAAACGAAGAGATCTCTGTACTCTCCTGTTTACAGTGTAGATTCTCTGTTAAAGAGGATTCCCCGTTTTCTGCCTTTGGTGCCTCCAGCATTGGTTCCTTCTTTGTTCTTACAGCCCAATGCATTGACTGTAAACAGGTAATCACATATATTACTAGGAATGCGTGGTTAAAAAATAAAATAAAAAGACTTTCAGAAATGTACTTCAGAAAAAATATTGCATACAGTTTTGACAGAGTCTTTCAAGGCATGCCATTCATGGAAAGGAATAGTAACACCACTTCTTGACCACTGGTCATAGTTTTTTCTTCTGGCTTCATTGCACAGTACTTCTTTGGCTTCTTGGAGCTTCTGAAAATCTGCCACTGTCATAAAACAACAATGCCCAGAATGTATGTCACTCACAACAATTATTGTGTTTTCAAAGCCAGGAAATATGTATACAGCCAAATAAACCACATGTTTACCTGCACCTGGGTTGTCTAAATGTTTGTCTGGGTGACACATCATGGCACGAATCTTGTATTCGCTCATAATCTGTTCGGTCTGCAAGAAACATCATAAAATAAATACATTTTCACACAAGTAATATTTTGGTTATAACTAGTTATAACAAGTAAAGACAATGATGCCACAGAGAATTCAGCCGATGACTCATCTTAAGCTGACGCAGCAACAGGTCTCTTTTCTACATTAAAAATTATGTCTGTCTCTATTTACTGTATAAACTAAAAGGCAGACATTCCTTCTATTTATAACTGGCTACTTCTAGTTATTCACATACGTTATTCAGTCGTATCTGACTATATTCTACTAGTCAGCTCTTCAAGCAGTATTGTTTGGTTTATGTAAAACCAAAATATGCAATGCGTCAACTGCCAAACACAGGCCTTACAAGCAACCGGCTCTTACCGTTGACAATTCATCGCAGCCCAATAAACCGTAATAATCCTCCAAGTCCTCTCGTTTGCAGTTCAAAACAGCCTCCATAAGTAAAGCAGGTTAACGATGGTTTTGTTTATGCGCAGTACAACTTCCTACAACAGTTCCTTCACCTGTACGGCAGAGTGTTACTCATTAAACCTGCAAAACTATATATTTTAAATGTTTAGTCTGTTGACGTCGAATAATTTACTTAAGTGTTAAAACTAATCGCGTTTTACTGTCTATGAGACGTGAACTGACGTGTGCTGCATTCACGTGTTCGGACAAAAGGTGTGGACAGATGTTTGTTTGCACATTAGGTGGCAAATACAATGTAACCGTGCGTAATGTTTAAAAAATATTAAGGATGTTAAACATTAATTAAATAATTGTCGAAACAGTTGCTTAATTTTAAGAAAATTTTTATTTCAATTGTACAGCTAATTTCCCATTATTGTAGGATCAGATGTGATTCACAAAAACGGAATGTACTTGAATGCATCAATATTTGTGGCTGTTGTACGTCATTGACGTACTCTGACGTTCAGACGTTATCTACGAAAGAAAATGCGAGTCACGTGTTCTATGCAAATGAGCCAGCTGTAGGAGAGAAAGAATCTGCTCGGCAGCGGCGCGACGGGCTGAAGATGGCGGACGGCGAAGACGGTCTCGGTACTGGGCTTTCGGGCGCCCTCGGAATGGACGGACCGGTCGCAAAAAGATCGAAAACTGCACCGGGCACAAACTGCGGATTCAAAGTTGCTGAAGCAGAACAATTTATGTGTGCCTCTGCGGACACAGAGAACTGGGAGGCGGCGGCGGTGGATTGTGCGCAGCCAGCGGGGAAAGAAGCAAAGCCGGTGATGGCGGTAGAGCAGGCCCCAGCAGCAGCGCTAGGTGAAGACAACAATGAACTCTCCGCGTCCTATGGACCAGCCGTGAAACTGGGAGACAGTGCCATGCTGGGCACAAACGAGGAGGCTCCGGTATGAAAGAAAACGGGGGGGAAATTCAACATGGCTTTGTTTTTAATTGACTAACGGCATGCGGCGTTTGTTTTGCCGGCAAGTTAGCTAGAGAAACAAAGTTCAGCTAAGTTAACAAGCTAACGCCCAGTACAAAACGTGTGATCATTCTCAGGCAAACTCTTTATATATATTTTTTCATTCCACGCTAACAAGTTTGACGAATATTGACGCTATAAAGTACGATTTCAAACCTAAAGCAATATGGAATCCGCTGGTCAATAGTCTGGTTCTCTGTTTGTAAACAGAGCATGAGATCTCTTCCACGAGTGCCCAACTACATCATTGTTTTATTTGTCTGGTCGTGTAGCAACTTTTTACATGCATTTAATGTTGTGCAGAAACCGTTGTCCACAGAGGTAGGGTATGCCAAAGCCTGTGTACATGAACTCATAGCTGGGCAGAAAGTGCAGAGCACTGATGCTCAGTACGTGTAAATATAGAAACTACACTCCTACTTCAGGTGGTTGAATTGTCTTCCATAGCACAAACTAATTCCACAGAAGTTTATTATTCCAAGATTTGAAGGAATAGTTAATCCTCTTAGAAGCTCACCTAAAATAAGCCAATGCTTCAAAATCAAGCACCTTCCCTAATTTTCCTAATTTTGGTATTGTTGGTGATGCAGTATTTTCAAGTTGCATTAAAGCTGTCTGTATTTTTTTGCTGTATTTTCACAGGCCATGGAAATGAACTGACAGATGCCACAAATCTCAGGCTCAGTGTTCATTGTTATTTTCTCTCTATTCTCAGATTTTCATGAACATGATGATTTTGCTTCCAATGGTTTGGCAGTGACACCAGACCACATCACAGAGGAAGATGACAGATCCTCTCATGCCAGTTCCAGTGACTGGACCCCTCAGCCCCAAATAGGTAAGTGGGTTATTTGTTAGAAAACTTCATTGTTTACATTTCCAAATAAGTAGTTTTTGAAATTATTGAAATGACATCAAACCTTTCAGCTGTTGAATGTAAAATTGTATTATTGGTAAATTGTGTTGTTGTACGTTGTGTATATTGGGTGTATTTCTTGTTCTGTCACAGTGTGTAGAACTATACATGTGAATAGAGATTTGTTACTACAAGATGGCGAGTTAAAGAAAAGTTAAGATGAGCAAACAAGTGATTTCACTGTGGACATGGTAAATACATTTATCAGTAAATCATATATCGTCTACCTATTTGAATCAGACAACTCCAGTAGGAATATATATGTATTTATGTGTTATATTTTTACTGAGCCATCTAAAATTGGTGTTTATTTCAGCATTAAAGGAAACATATCACTTATGTTCTTTGTCAGGATCATACAGTTTCATCCAGCAACACATCAGAGAGACTGATCCAAGGACCATCCTGAGGGACCTGCTGCCTGAGACCGTGCTCCCACCAGATTTAGATGATATGACATTGTGGCAGATTATCATAAACATCTCAGAACCTCCAAAGAGAAAGAAACGGAAGGACCTTAACACACTGGAAGATGTGGTGAGACTCCTCCAAGAAAGTAAAAGGATCCTTGTGCTGACGGGTGCTGGGGTGAGAGTACAAAGTATTTTAAAGTCAATCAATATTTCACCTATTGTACGTGTTCTGAATTTTTTTAAATCAAATTGCTTCTCCACTTTTTTATTTAGGTGTCTGTTTCCTGTGGAATACCAGACTTTCGCTCAAGGGATGGAATTTATGCACGGTTAGCTGTAGATTTTCCGGATCTTCCAGACCCTCAAGCAATGTTTGACATTGATTACTTCAGACGGGATCCAAGACCTTTTTTTAAGTTTGCTAAGGTTTGTCTAATGTACTGTATGTACTGTACATACTAAAAGTCATGACTTGGATGTTCTGTTTGTAAGTACCATAAAACAATCTCCCCTATCTTGTTTTTATCATTTAATATAAAAGTTTCCAAATGTGAATTTTTAGTCATTAAAAATAAGAGACATCTTGTGATAACTTTTTTAGGAAAGTGTACATCTAAATAAATAAGTTCTTTGACCTTAGTTAGATTATCTTTTGGATGATGTATTATTAGTTGTATGTTATAAGGTGACTAATGATTCTTGTTATGAAAATTGGATGATTTGACAGCCTACTCTGTTACAGGAGATTTATCCTGGTCAGTTTCAGCCATCGCCTTGTCATAACTTCATATCTATGCTTGATAAACAAGGGAAGCTACTGCGCAATTACACACAAAACATTGATACTTTAGAACAAGTGGCAGGGGTGGAGCGGATCATCCAGTGTCACGGTAAGTAAAGTAGCGTATTGTTGTCAGCAATTGTCATTTATGTCCATCTCAGTGATTATACTCTGAATAACTTTTATCTCAGGCTCATTTGCAACGGCATCTTGCCTCATCTGTAAACACAAAGTGGACTGCGATACCATAAGAGAAGATATCTTCAACCAGGTATTTACCCACTGCTCACCAAGTCCTGCATGGTACTGCATCAGAAGGCTTAATATTTTTGCTGTCGTGCGTTTTACTATGCCACGGACTGCTGGATAAGCAGCATCAGTGGCGTTGGCAAAAGAACATTTGCAACAAAAAAATTCAGAGCTTGTTAGGATTGTAGAAATATAATGAAGATATTTTTACTGGTTTGCACCAGTAAAAATAAAGTGCCCATGATCAAGCTGTTGTGTATAATTTTAGAAAGCTCTGTTCATACAGATCTGGATTTTGGTCAATCTGAGCCTTAAAACTGACCATACTTGTAAATGCAACTGGGACACTCAGTTGACGTACATGTATATATCTTTTGTTTAATTGTTTCTGACAAAAGCTTCCTTGTTTTCCAGGTTGTTCCTCATTGTCCAAAGTGTCCAGATATCCCACTGGCAATCATGAAGCCTGATATTGTTTTCTTTGGTGAGAATCTTCCAGAAATGTTCCACAGAGCCATGAAGCAGGACAAAGATGAAGTGGATCTTTTGATTGTCATTGGTTCTTCTCTTAAAGTCCGTCCTGTTGCCCTCATCCCAAGTAGGTTTTTGTTTTTTTTTAATTTCTTGTTTTTTCACCAAAGCCAAAGCATCACACTGCTCTTTTTACTGTTTTCTTTTTCCCATCCAGATTCTATTCCTCATGACGTGCCTCAGGTCTTGATCAACAGAGAGCAGCTCCCTCACCTCAACTTTGATGTGGAGTTACTTGGGGACTGCGATGTCATTATCAATGAGCTCTGTCATCGTTTGGGTGGAGACTTTGAGCAGCTCTGCTTCAACACTGTAAGACTGACTGAGATCACAGAGAAACCCCCACGGTTTCCAGAACAGTTACCCAGCGAGGTCTTGCCTGCTTCCAGCGACACAGTTCAGGAGGAGCAGGAGCAGAACAGTACACACTCAGTAGTTAAGCCCTCAGAAGACACAGAAAATCTACATGTCACAGAGACTGCTGGTAATAATCTCTTACCTCCAGTTGATTTGCCTGCGGAAGGCGTGGAAAAGGAGGAGGCTGCTGAAATAAGGAATCCAACTTCCAACCTGGAATTTCGCAGACGGTTTTGGATAAGTCGAATCAACAGAAGTCCAATTAGCAAACGCCTTGATGGTGAGCCTTTAACAATACCACAGAGGAAAATAATTATACTATGAGGATGTAAATGAAATAAAACTGCAACTTTTCAGTCATGCCTTTTGAGGATGAAAGTAGGAACAGATTGTCTACCTTAGCTCTATATTAACCTTCAGCTACAACACTGACAAAAAGCTGTGATTTTAGCTTTTAGTAGTTGTCATGGATGGGCCAACAACCAAAACACCAAAGTGCAAAACAAGCAGCATATATGTTCATGGTTTCTAAAGGTCCATATCACAGTCTACACTGTGGCCAGGTCAGATGGCCAACTAAAGTGCATAAAAAGGCCATTCCTGAAATTGTAATGGAATTTGTGTTCTATAGGTTAACAATTTATTAAAGATTTAACATATTTATTCACACTTGATTTTAAAAAAAATTGACATTTATGTGATGTTGATTATCTGGTTTAAATGGTAATGCTTAGTTCCTGAGCAAAATAAATTGGTTACTAATGACAGTCAAAGTGAAAAAAGGAACAATGGCCCTATGGTTTATCATTTTAAAGACTTCCTAATTGTTCACAAGACTACCAAGGATGTTGTTCCAATTTTAAACAATTAAATTACATTTAGAGGGAAAAAATAATAATAAAGCCCAGAAAAGAATCTTATGTATGCTGATGAACAACCTGTCTCAATTACTGACATGGCAATGGACTGGGCTTCAAAGGGTAAAAGGAAAATATTAAATGTACTAAACTCAATGTAATGAAACCCTGTAATAAAACAAGATCTTTGCATATTTTCCTACAGCAGGCCAGTACCTGTTTCAAGCACCCAATCACTACATCTTCCATGGGGCTGAGGTTTACTCCGACTCTGAAGACGAGACATCCAGCTCTTGTGGCAGTGACAGCGAGGAGTCGGAATGCAGCGGAAGCGGGTTGGAAGACAACAGTGAACCCGAGGATGCAGACACACGTCCAGTGGATGAAGAAACTCATCCAAGAGACACAATTCAACATACTGTAGCCACAGCGGACGCATCCAGTGTACAAATAGACAATACTTTTGAAAAAATTCAGAACACCACACACCTTTAATTCTAAAATCCATTACCAACAAAGCACTAATTGTCTTTATATATTTATATACATATATATATATATATACACATATAAGTGTGTGTATATATGTATATGTTTTATATATATATATACACATATAGTATGTGTATATATGTGTCTCTTCGATTTTTGTCTTTTACCTTACCCCATTATTTTCATAAAGTTTTCATAAACTGCTTATGTAATAGGATGCAGTAGTCGCTGGTTCTTGTTCTATTCGGCTTTTCTTTGATTTCGACATATTTTCTTTACATCTGCAGATTTATGTCAAAAAATGTAAGTGCAGAATATGACTAATTCAACAGCAGACCAAGCCTCAGTTGCAAGCTTATTGGTCTCAATCCATAGGCTGTTTGTCAAATGCATTTTATTGTGTTACCACGTTACCATTGAGGAAATGTGTAAATATGTAAACCTACTGCCTGCTATGTGGTGGTTACTATGAGTTTCAGACATACAGAAATCTAAAGGTTTATTTGAAGACATAGTCTAATTGCAATATAAGACGTTTGGCTTTGCTCTCGTTCACTACGGCGACAGCTGGACCAAAGGAACAGTACTCTTTATGTTTAGACCAAAGAACACAACTCGCTCCTATTTCACAGAAGCTTTGTACCTTGTTTACCTTGCCATTTAAAAAAACGACTATTGACATGATGTTCCTTCGGACATGTGGCAGCTACTTTTTACGGTCAAGCCTCTAATTTTTATACTCTGATATGAGACAATACTCATCAAAGAGTAGATGACTCTCTGTACAAAGTTATACTAAGTCATAATGTATGCCTTAGGAATATATTCGATGAGTTCACCTTGAAGTGCAGCACTTTTTTTTCTGTGGTCTGGGTTTTTCTGTTTTGTTTTTTTGCTAAAGAAAAAAGTTGATTATACAGAAAAGTCTGCTGCCTGTTAAGATTAAAGCTGTTGCTAGAGCATAGGCTACATTTGAGCATATATGTTCAGAAAGAAATCTACAACAGTGGAATTCACATGCCATTTTAGAGGACATGTTTTGTTTACGGTATAAAAGAAAAAAATGTTTTTACATTGTTGTAGTTGTTACTACTTCTGGGGTTTTCAGTAAATCAAGAATGAAATGCACTGAACACTCATTCTTGTTATTTCACATCCAAAAAAAAAACACTACAAAAATGGAGTGAGGCATGGTCATTTGAAGGTTCAAAAAGGGGGTTTCATGACTGCAGTGAGATGAAGATAAGTCTTTGAGATAATAGCACTGTGTAAACAAGTTTGAGCTGAAGGTGGTAGCGTTGAGGATGCTAAAGTGTAGGACAGTATTACATTTTCAATGTAAAAGTCCTTCTCTATGTTGTATTGCACACCAATTTTAGCCTTTTTCACTCAAATTGAACATTTTGTCCTACTTTACGTTTTCACCTCTCATTCAAAAGGGCGAACTGAAGAAGCCTCTTGGATGAGAGGTGAGACGTTTTAAAAAAATCCTACTTTGTCCCGTTGCTTTTCAATATCGTGCTGGCGTGTAACTTACTCATTGACAAACTAACGAGCCCTACACTGTCACTTGGTGTTGTGCAGGACGCCTGTGATTGGATAACGAGGCGCAGCCGTGCGCTTTAAAGCGGAAAGGAGTAGTAACACTGTCCGACCAGGTGATGGTTGCAAGATGTCGCTGTGTGAAGGCACAGAGAAAAAGGTTTGCTACTATTACGATGGTACGTGTTTCCATCTCTGGTCCTATTCACTTTGGCGGTTAACGCGTAATGTGAAGGACCAGTCTTCCGCAGAGCGTGCGGACGGTTTATTTTAAATGGTCTGCACGCTGCTGAACGGCCGAGTGAGGCAGCTGGTCAGCGTGCTAAACAGTAGCCTGTTTGAGCCGCACGGTTTGGACATTCAAACTAATTCTGCGTGTTATTCAGTTGTACGAGATAGCGCTTTGTTATTTGGCCACTAAATATCTGCACGAAGACCGTTAGGTTTGGTGGTCCAAACATTTTGGGTGTTGCGACTTTGGCCACGTGTGTTAGAGAAGAAGCGGATTGTTCTGGAGAGCACGTTTGCTTCAAAGCGGTCCTTGCACTTTGTAGTGAATTGTAACGGTGACACATCCATGAAGAAGACGGCACATCTTTGCCATCGTTTTTGCCCCCGCCCCCCCCTTTTTTCTCCAATATATTTTGACTGTTTATTTGGCAAAACCCAATTTATAGTAAGGCTATAGTAAGGCATGTT